AAAGATCAGTAGGATCGTTTTCTCAAGTACCGATTTGGAAAGTAGAGATTTCAAGCTGTGAAATGCTTTTTTGAACATCTCGATACGATCATTTTTGACGAAGTTGCTCTATCTTGAAGTTTGCCTATTTTTAGTGGATAGAACAGGTGATCCTTTAATTTTTTAGACCAGTATATATACATATTTTTTAAATTATTAAGATTAAACGTACAGAATGTTCCTGGATTAAATGGTTAAACATAAATTATTTGATTTTTGTAAAACAATGAAGGAGATAAAACTAGACTATTTTGATATTTATTCTTACAGCTCTGTAACTTAGAAGTCGATATCTTTTGAGCAAAGCTCAAGCTTTTGCGAGCATACTTCCAGACGAAACTTTTTTGTTTTAAGGGAGTATTCTAAGTCTAGCGAATCGGAAAAATCGATTTTTTTGTTTTTACATATTATGTAAGTATTTGAATATGGAAAATATATCTGCAAAAAGATTTAGCCCGATTCGCAAAATTAACAAAGTTATAGGCCGGTACTTGTTACCGATTCTTATATTTGAGATCGTCTGAAGTATAGTCTTAAGATGTTACAAGCCAATAACAGAGCCGTATTAGCATCTTAAGATATTACTTAAGACGGCTTTGAAATAAAAACTGACTTATGAATACCGGCCATAGCACTTGAGAGTGGTCTCAATCTATGTAATCATGTACAAAAAACTTTAAACCCATTTTTCTCGAAACCATGTTTTTCAAATTGGTATCTATAATATCTCGAAAACCAATTAACCAATCAATTCGGGCTTGTGCACACATCTTCAGCATATTCCTGGCTATAGTCCCTACTTCGATCAAGTCAAAATATGTTTTTTTTTTATTTTTATAACCCTTTAAAATTGAAAAAAATGGTAAAAATCTAAAGTTAATTTTCAAAATAATGTCAATTTTTAAATTTTTAATATTTTATTTATGTTCTGGTACCAGCTATAGCCAAACTTATACTAATTAAGAATTTCTTTGATTTTTTTGTTTTAAATGAGCAGAACAGCCGGAATTATGGGTACCGTGGACCAATCATTTTTTTCATGACCTCAGTATATATTGTATACAGCTTTATAGTAACGCTTATTTATAGTAACTTTTAAATACAAATATTTTGAAACATGCTTCAATATCTATAAATATGTAGGAAAAAACCGCGTCCCACAAAACTTTATACTTGCTTTTAAAAAAATTCGCAAAAATAACATAAAAATTTGGCCTCTAGACTAGAATACCCCTTTAAACTGCGTATTATTAAACATGCCGATTGCCTTTTTACATTGCTATTTAACTTATTTCTAATATCTTATAGGAATTTATTAATTTATATTATAATGTTACAAAAAAATAATATATCGATATATATTTTAATAAATAAATGTGTGTAATGTCTGGTTTAATGTTACACGTGCCATACCATACGTGTTATATCGAAATCGAAATGATTCTCGCAAAATTTTTTTCTGAGCTTTTCGAATGAGCATTCGCACTACGACTAGCTTGAAAACTGCAGATATAGATAAGCTTTATTTCGAAAGCCGTTCTCTGCCTCGTCCACGTTCCCGCACGCATTTATCAATTTGCCGGTATACATCGTTTCGCGTCGCGACAGTAAACAACGGGCAGTATCGTGAAATTGGAGTTTTATAGGTGTCGACGTTACAGCCGCGCATTGCAACGTTATCCGGCAGCAGCGTTGGAGCAAATGCTTCGAATGGAATTGGTGGACAATCTTATACCCGCTACTCCTGGTGTCTCCAAAGGTCCGGGCTCTCTCATCTGAGGGAAAAAGTATATTGCTATTTATAGGTATGAATAGACACGAGAAAGACAAAAGAAAACAAGTAGATACTGCGCAGCGCGAACAAAGGGGCTGCCTGAAAATCTTCACATCTCCCTCGCGGACAGATATCAAGTGGCATTAATGGCATCTTGGCGACAATATAATGGGATCTTACCTATTCGCCGGAATATAGGGCCGCTATTATTTTCATAATTTCGTATATAAGGAACGGACGGTTAGAGGCGAGCCCTCAGTGCACGGTGATGACTTGTGTGAGACGTGTCCTGGGAAGGATGAAACTTCTTATTCTTTGTGTAAGCATCGAACACGGCCGAGCAATTTTGCAATTTTGCAATTTTGCAATTTTCCTGTAATTTATTAATCCTAATTGCGTTCGTGTAAATACAGTACAGCGGAACCTCGATAACTCGAACCTCTACAACTCGAGAACTTCTGTAAGACGAAAATTTTGTTCATCCCTTTCACTCGCTCCGCTGCGGAGAACCTCTTTAAATCGAAATAAAACCTATACCTTAACTCGAATGATTTGTCAGGTATTTAGACGTATATATTTTACCTCTGTAACTCGAATTTAAAGTAGCCGGACCTCTACAAGTCGAACTTCCATTGTCGCTACCTCTTAATCTATAAATCTATAAATAATCTATAAATAATTCGAAGTTGTAGCTATAATGTGTAACCGTGAGTAATAGCTTGGTATTTTATTTTATGATTACATTTATCATACGCATGCAATAAATAATTCACTGTTAAATATTGATTTTTTTTCCCCTCTAAAAGCTATTATAATCAAAAAATTATAAACTCTCTTATCCTCCGTAAGTCGAATTTTCATATGTTAACTCTCTTTTACTCGAATTTCGACAAGTCGAAAACTCTATAACTCAAACAGTTTTTCTGGGATTCAAGTTATCGAGGTTTGACTGTACTTACTGAATTACTTAGTATTAATTTAAACCATCGTGTGAAGCGTTAGACGGAAAAATTAAATGAAAAATTTCTTTTTTCGTGTACAAGTGTTGCAAAGATGGCGATCATTAATTTAGGCAGACAGATTCTGATTTTGTCAAATTCTTTCAGTTGATTCTTCTTCAGTGAAATTTTAATTTTAGAAGAGCCGCTATTTGCATTTTCTATTACAGATCTTTAATATTCATTGTTATTACGTCTTAATACAATAATTAAACTTCAAACGTAAAGAAAAACGGAGTTTTTGTTTAAATAAACATGATCAAATTTTCTCATTATTTTATTATGATCATTTATAATTTGTACAGCTTTTTAATATTTCAATTTTTAAAAAATCTATTTTAAAATGTTGCAAAAATTCTATTCATTAAACTTAAAATTGTTCAAAGAGAAAGGAAGAAAAATGATCCGCTTCTGTCGTGTCATTAAAATTAGATATGAACTGTAAATTTTCTGGAGTGAAAATACTGCCATTCGAGTGGCAGTATTTTCATTCATTTGAAGTAAAACTCACTTCAAAAAAGTGAAAATTCATTCCAAAGGAGTTAAAATTCACTCTAAAGCAAAGAAGTGAAAGTTCACTCCAGAAAATTTAGAGAGAAAATTCCAACGAAAAATTCTACAAACACGGTAATTTACAAAAACGGATTTGATCATTTCAATTACACGATTAAATGACTGACTCACAGGTAATGATCTACGGTTTGTCGGCGGAAGGCACGGAGGAAGTCTTGTCGATCGGCCGGTGGAAGGAGCAGGTTATTGCGCCGGAGTTTCTGCTGGACGATCGCGAGGATGTCTCCGAGGGCAACCGAAACGCATTCCTTTACGAGGCTAAGCACAACTTCCGTCCCAAGGGAGGACTCGGAGAGGTCAAACGAATCACCGGCACCGAGGACGTCAGCCTGCAGCCGCGTCTCGCAACGAGAGTAAGTTATACGTTTGCATAATTCCGAAAAATTTCTATTTCGTGAACTCCTTTTCGAACGAACAAGCGCGACGTCGTTATGCCACACTATCGCGCGATACGTTTTTCAGTCAAGTTTAGATTACGAATTCATCGTTCACGCGGAGGAGGTTGAGTGCTCACTTCCGCCGTAACGCTCGACTCAACCGAAGCTGTATCTTAGTTTAAATAATTCAGAGGAAATAAAAGTGGCGTGAATACTTAAAAGAACAATTTTGCTGAATCCAGATCTAAAAATAATCTTTGTTCAATAATCACAATAATTTTGTGCTAAAGTCTAAATCACTCAGGGAAATATTTCGCTGTTCCAGCTGGAATTCTAAATATTACACTTAAATTACATCGCTGTTTTTTGTATCTGCTAAAAAATTGTCTGTCATACGTAGAATTTATAACAGCAATATTCTAAGAATATATACAAGAAAATGTTGATCTCATAACCAAATATGATTAGAGTCTGAATTGATTAAACGTCATAGAAGAACTTTCTTGCTAAATTTGACAAATAATTCAGATATAATTTCTGTCTCTATTATCTATATTGATTAAATACAAAACATATGTGATATCGCCGTGCTTACTAATCACTTATCCGTTTTAGCTAATTTTTTGTACCTAAATAATTCTTGCTATAATTGCAAGATTACTTTTTTCAGTGAATGATTGCTAGAATGTCAAAACATTTTATGGCAATGCTTGTCAGTTTTAACATTTCAACAAGGTATTTTGACGATTTAACAAAAAAATTATTTTCAGATCTGTATTTAGCAAAATTTTTAAACCTTTCAACAAAATCGTTCTTTCCGTGTATACACGCAAAAAAATGACTTAGTAATAGTAGCTAAATTTCAAGCTAAAATTCATAGTAATAGTAGCTAAAATGCATAGCTGAATCAAACTTACAATTAGCTATAAGAGCTACCGCCTTAGTGTCATTGCTAAGTTCTGGCTATTACAGATAAAAAACATTCGCTGTGACAACAAAAATTTATTAAGGTGGTTTTATCGCTCAATGTCAACTCGATAATGTGACGTTGTCTCATAAACGTCACACAATCGCATATGTACAGTCTATGCAAAGTATTTTTATTGAATTACGTATGTTTTTATTGAATTATTAGTCATATGGAGGGGTAACTTTTGACTAGGACTTGCTCAATAAAACCACCTTAACCGAAATTAAAATCATATATTAGTACAAGCAACTGAAAAGATGGCATGCGTATCTAAATGTCTTATTATGTACACATTTAGCAGACAAAGCTACATGGAAAGAACAATTTTGTTAAAAGACCTAAAAATTTTGCTAAAAACAGATCTGAAAATAATTTTTTATTGAATTACCAAAATAATTTGTTGAAATATGTTGAAAGCATAATAAGCATTGCTATAAAACGTTTTGATATTCTAGCAATTATTTTGACTTTCGCACAAAATAATTTTGATTATTGGACAAAAATGATTTTCAGATCTGGATTCAGCAAAATTGTTCTTTCCGTGTAAGTTTTTATAGCTACGCGCGAAAATTTGATTTATAATTGTTTTTGCAATGCGGCATTGCCATATGCACATCTACAGCGCATTTAGCATTTATATTTTGCAGTATACAAGCTATATACTGCAAATATTATTACTCAATTGCGAAGATAAAATAGCATAGTAGATTCGGCTAAATGTCATTTGATTTTAGCAGCAAATATTTTTTGCTGTAGCATCTACATTTTAATAACTAATAAATTGAACTTCGGCAGCAACGACATTAGCTGTCCCTATTTCAACGACACATCTTAGCTGCCATAGCTAGCCATATTTTAGCTTCATTGGCTAATCCTCTTTCTGCGTGTACTGGGGTGTATATCCTTTTCTTCGTAATATCGTATTTCCGTATATCGGCGCTTTCTGCATGCGTAAAGTTTGTTAAACGCGCGTGGTAATTATTCTTGCGTAATTATTTTCTAAATTAATATTGGAAACGTGAAAGTTTTGCACGCGCGTCACGTCCGATATTAATGGCAAAGGTCACCCGGACTTATTCAGAAATGACAACCGCGCGGACTATACAAATATAATGACTTTTTATGCTGGAAAATTACATTTACGTTTTGCGGTAACAGCATAACGAGCGATTAAATACGTGGCAATCCGAATTTCATATAAAGTGGCAGGATATTGTTTTTTTCCCGTCACGTTATCCATTTATTTCGCTTCAGCTTTGCAATTGCGCGTAAACGGCAATGATGGAACAACTGTAAACCATGCATGAAAAAGCATAAAGTTTTATACACGCACAGGCCGGTGTCTCAGGATTTGACGGACAAACTAAAGGAGTATATTCCACAAGTGAACACAAGAAAAATACGTTATATGAAGTTTGGCTGGAAATGTTTTACTATATAAAGTTGTAAACAAATATTGAAATGGAGAGAGAGAGAGAGAGAACATGAAATAGGAAATGGATTTTTCATTGCGCGCGGAATATGAAAACGTATACATTTTGTGTACGAAAAGGTCGTGTTTATCTCGCGCGTGTGTATATTCATATCAATTTACTGTCCTTAAACGATTCAGTGTGTTATTTTACAATTTTAAAATAATAAAACATTTTTAGCCAAACTTCATATGATATTATATATAGGATACAGCGGGATAATTTGAATAGCGGGGTAATTTGGATAATAGTAAGCATTTGCAAGAATTTCGGAAAAATAAGAGATTTTAAGATACATTTCATTAGATCAGAGTCTGATCTTCAAGTGGAATATAATTTGCAAGAATTTCGGAAAAATAAGAGATGTTAAGATACATTTCATTAGATCAATATCTGATCTAATGAAATGTATCTTAAATTTCGGAAAAAGAGATTTTAAGATACATTTCATTAGATCAGATATTGATCTAATGAAATGTATCTTAAAATCTCTTATTTTTCCGAAATTCTTGCAAATGCTTATTGTTATCTAAATTACCTCACTATTCAAATTATCCCGCTGTGCCCTATATGATTTATATTTATTTCTTATTTCCACTTGTAAAATATGCTTCCGCAGTCTATCCATTAAATCCTGTATGCGTGCGTGCGTGCGCGCATCGTGTGTGTGTGTGTGTGAGCAAAAAATATATACAATACCGGTCAAAAGTTTGGACGCGATTTCCCTTATTCGTTTAATAAAAGCAAGTTTGACGTAACAGGAATGATAGTTATATGCTTAACAATTAATATCTAAAATATAATGTTTGAGAATAGTGTGCCGAATAATGTAGATATAAAAAACACTGGTTCGCACCAGTGTCTTCTATATGTTTATATTATTCGTAAGACATTAAGCAAGAACTTATCGCAAAATGCTGACCGTTCAGTACAAACATATAGGCGCTGAGTTGAAAAGTTGCGCGATAGTTGCAATAACAGTATCGGCCCTCAATTGTACCTTTCGTAACATATAGACATAATACAATATATAGACATAATACAATATATAGACACTATAGCGATAACATAAGCAAGGTAAGGCTGCGAGAAATATGCTACAAAAGTTCGATATTAAAATATAATCTTCATTATATATAATTTATGCACGAATTCTGATATTTAGAACGTCTCTAATAGCGATTTCGGCTGGGATGCACCGATTGCACATTTCGGGTGTTGTATGTTCGGCTGGTTTAACATTGAAAAAAGTAATTTTGCAATTATAACAAGAATTATTTAGATACGAAAAATTAGCTAAAACGGATAAGTGATTAGTAGGCACTGCGATACCACATATATTTTGTATTTAATCAATATAGATAACAGAGACAGAAATTATATCTGAACTATTTGTCAAATTT